TGTAAGTTGAGGTCCATTAGTCGTAAAAAAAATAAAGGGTATGCTTCGGGTGGGAAATATTTGAATTAACATCACGTAAAGTGGGTAGGTAATACATTATATTACAGTCATATTGTAGCCGCTTCTATCCAAAGTGACTTACATACATTCAGTACTGTGAGACAAATCCCCCCAGGAGGCATTCGGAGCGAGAAGTGTCTTGCCCAAGGCCACAAACGACATGCTGACTGGCAGTGGGATCAAACTTGCTAGACCCTGATTTGAGTCCAGCACACTATCCACTTAGCCACAGCCTCCCTCTAATTCACTTCAGAAACCTTTTCTTATACCATGAAATGTCTAAATCCCGATAGCAACCGTTTGCTGCCTGCTTCATAAAACCAAACCGCGGAAACTCTTACAACTGAGCTAGCCTGACAACAACCAACAAGGGTGCCAGATGTGCTCCAGCTTCCTCTGTACGTTCGCTTCCTATCGGAGCAAGACCAGAGTACTCCAGTAGGAAGCTGGGGTAACTACTACGAAGCAGGTTATTGTCTGATGATTCAGTGCTACTTGCACAGCGTAGTGTTTGTTGAGTGGACAGATCAGTTGGCGCTGGCGGTGGGAGGTTTTGTTTCCAGTTTCGGGCTGAGCGCGCTAACTTTAAGGAAAACGCGGGGTCTTCCGGTCAATAAGAAGCCAGGATTGCATCTTGATAGCAGGCATTAGATCTCATGGCTAATTTGAAGCTAGGCAGGAACTAACCTGGTCGGATCGTGGCGCGACAGTGAAGGTGCAGGGCTATTAGAGCTTCAACAACAGGAAAGCACTGTCGGCGAACCATCAGAGCTCAGTGTGCAGAGGTTCTTAGAGGATGACGATTCATAGGCTTGATATATTTAACAGAGAGAAGGAAATACTAGAAAAGCTTGAACCGTGCAAGGAAAGACGGCCCGGTGCAAAACCTATGACTAAGTATGTGAACTGTGAACACTTAATTTGAATATCACCTTCCATTCTTCAGAGCAATCTGACAATACGAACATACGTGTAAGAAAGTTAGGCTAATGAAATAATCTGCCGACAACATAAGTAAGCGATCAGAGGTAACATGGTAAGTACATGTCCGCGGCATATCGAGACGTCATAGGCGATGTTATGCACATTATATCTCGCTGTATCTTGAGTCAGCAGCGCGCAGCGTACTGCTGCCGTCGCAACACCTCCCGTGTCAAATACTGGATGCGAAGTAGTTATTGTTAGACGCGCAACACATTAAACTACTGCAAGACAAAGATAATTAAATGCAGAGTCGCACCTCGGGGTTCTAGACAGGGCAGCTGATATCATCAAACCTGTTAAGTGTACGGTTCATATCAAGGACACTTTTCTTTATCCATGTGCCTGTGAATTCACCGATTGCAAGGCTGTGCAACAGTGCTTTATCCATGGATAAATAGTGTGTTAATGTCATAGGATGTTTAAAGTATTAACTGTTCATTTCATAATTAGTCTAATTATACAGGCGACTTTATCATTCAGGGAAGGTATGACGCGTCGCGCTGTACTGTACGACGTGTCCCAATGTTCGTGATTGAGTCGAGGATGCTGCCAAAATACCGCGCCTTATCATGTGAATCGTGACGCCTGTGAACTGAATACGAGGCGGCACGGCTGGCGTTGAAGCGAGTACACCAACATTGATAACGCCCGCTTAGTCGTAAGATCCGGTAGTACGAGAGCGCGTAAGTGATATTGATTAATGCACAACCGGCGATCTCAAACATCTCAGCTGTTAGGTTGAACACAGCTTCGTATACGGCCCGTCTGGGCGCTTCAGTGGACCACTGCTGCTGTGTTGAATTTTTCTGCCAATCGGTGTGTTAAAACTGGATATAATACGTGACCGGCTTGATGTTGTTGTTTAGTGAGTTGACTTTCCCAGCCGCCGTGCCCTTGCCGTGGTGTCAACGTATAGCGTGACGAATGGTTGGCTTTATGCTGCTGGACCGACAAATTTTTGGGCCTGAAGACGAAGCCGGATTCCGGAGGCTAAGAGAGGGCTCTGCCGCCGCTGTGTGAAGAGGAAAACGCCGTGCTTTTGGCAGCTCGCAGCTCCGAAACCGGGGTGCTGGCAACTGAAAGCACTGGTGGTGTGAATTGAGGTAGTGGAAGTGGCGTGCGCTGTACAAGTACGACCCCAATCATTGAGCCGCCCCGGCTAAAATAACATGGATGGCCTACCTGCCTGTCAGCCTTCCATCGTCCGGCACAACTTATCCTTCAGGCCCTCATTGGTCATGTGCGCGTCCATCGTGTGTTTGAGGGAGGGGCTCGTAAGGATCTGAAGGAGGGGCAGAAAGTTTTCATCATCAAATTCTAGAAGCACCTCGAGTGGTTCTCCATTCTTAACTACCTACCTGTAAATGGTTCCACAGTGTGCTCTGTTGATATAAGATTATGCGATAACGAAATCTAATAAAGTGGCATTGACGTAGATAGCTTGTGGGGTTCTAAGTTTAGTCTAGATCTTATATTTAAAACTTTATCCAAACCTTTCCCCTCTATGACCTCTCGAGGTTTATTAGAGGGTAACAGGTTGCAGAGAACGCATAGCCCGGCCGGGGAGTGTGGAACGTAGTCACTGACCCACTCCTAACTCTGACAAGTTCAGGTTCCAATGGGGACCTTTTTCGCTGTGTGTGCCTCTCCACCTCTGTTTCCTACTTCTTACTTGCTACCCTTTTCCCTCAACCTATCCTAAGGGAGTGCATGTATGTAGACACGTTAGTTTAGCTGCAATAGGCTTGGACTGTTGGGGGGGACACCTTACTCCGTCTTTCTGGCTGTTTGTACCTGTGTACTCTCATGTTCCGATTAACCCAGTTTCCCCCAAATCTCTTTTTTGTGTCCATATATACGCCGGGATCCTGAGTCGAGGCTAATCCTGTTGCCGTGGTCGTGTGTCCTGGATCCTCTATCCTGAGCACTGGATCTGAGTCCTGGACTTCGAGTCGTGGCTGAACCTGTCTCTGCGGTCCTGCCAGACTCTCACCATACTACTTCCCTGATGGCTCCCACAAGATTGCTGACATCCTCGTGGATTCATCTTCTTATTATAGACACATGCATTTCCAAACATTTGGACTACCTATGTTGTAAATGTATTATCTTTTCGATTTACACACGGCATCTATTGCACGTCTGTCCGTCCTGGGAGAGGGATCCCTCCTCTGTTGCTCTCCCTGAGGTTTCTCCCATTTTCCCCTTTAAACTGTGGGGTTTTCTCTGGAAGTTTTTCCTTGCACGATGTGAGGGTCTAAGGACAGAGGGTGTCGTATTGTCATACTGATATTCTGTACACACTGTGAAGTCCACAGAGACAAATGTAACATTTGTGATATTGGGCTATATAAATAAACATTGATTGATTGATTGATTAAAGTATTCTAGCCACGTTGGACAGGGTTATTTGGGTGAGGCAGTTAAGGTCAGGTTTGAATTCCTCAGTCTTTGAAAGGTAGGCACATACTGTTGTAACCTTGGAAACCATTTCAAGATAATCAGTGTTTTTTCAACAATAAGGTGAGACAATTTATGCTTGGGAGTTTTTGTTAGTTCAGTTTTGCCATAACCAAATCAGTATTGAGTTACTTCTCTGTTCTTCAGGTTAGAGCAAGAAACCTTACTCAATCCAGAGTGTAGGCCTAACTCCAAAATCACTTCAAACTACATTTCCCACAATACAATTCGATAGCATCTGTCGTTGTACTTTCCCATGGTGATAAATGTTCCAGACTACACACTCAGAGTTTTAAAATCAAACTAGTAAAAAAATATACATTTATAATGTTATGAATGTGCATGCCTGAGAATACCCTGAGGAGATTACCAGAGTACATTTGTCCAGGTTTGGAAAGCTCAGAATCACAGGTGATACTGTTCACCTGCATCATATGGTGAATAGTAGTAGCTGGTAGCAAGCTAACTATAGATGACCAGCTTTTTTTAACTGAAAATACTTTAAGCATCAATGACAGGTTTACCTACACTCAATAAAACATGGCCTTTGATATCCTTCCTGCTTGATCTGAAAATATTTGGGTTGTTATAAAGTGTATAAACAGCACATTTGAAAGCAGTATTAACTGGAAATTGGGGGTATTTACATGATTTTATCCATTGTTAATATGAAAGAATATTATTAGTACGGCTTTGATTAAGTGCTTTGTGTTAATTAGACATACAAACAATAAAATCATAAAGAGTGTCATTCACTTGATATGGCTTTCAATGTAGAATTAATAAGGACACTTTCAAATTCTGCGCCTCTTCTTAAACCCTGCAGGAACACTAAAATAAGAATCCCTGTTATCAGATTATTGTTCAAAATTACATTTTGCAGCCTACTACACGTTGACATTTGGTGTGCGTAAGGTTCACCTGGTTAAACATGCAGACCCAGATCAGCAGAAAGTGTAGGATCTCTGCTTTGAATGTGACAAATGATCTTCCTGCTCGCTGCACGTCCTTTCCTCTTCACCATGTCGATGAGGCAGCGGGCCCTGTCTGCCCTGGTGTCGTTCTCCTGAAGAACAGAGTCTTTCTCCCCGTCATTCAACACTCCATCCATTAAAAGGTCATCCAGCAGCTGATTGATCAGTTCTCTGGACATGTTCCGCACAAGTGCAGGCCTCAGTCTGGCAAGCTCCTCTTCTGGAAGAAAAAAGAAAAACTTGGGGTACAGATATTAAAAACATATTGCTAAACTGTAATAGTATGGCCAAGGTGAATATCATTTATTAGAGCAATACTCATTTGTAAATATTTTACTCACCCTGGGTTGACTATAATTTATGAGCAAAACTTTGGTCAATGAAGACCCAAAAACAGAGAAATATCTGGTTGAATTTAATTAAATTGGAGACGTGTTTAACAACAGCAAAACTATATCAAAACATAATCTTACAGACTGTCACACAGCTTGTGCAGTAGAATTCTAATTTCATTTAATGAGTCCTATCTTCAATAAAAGGGTGTCACGTTTTCCATCAAAAATCCAAAATCAACAAAGCTCACCTTAAGCCTGGAGCTTCCCTTTCCAAACTGAAAAATATTTCGGCATCCCTGAAGCAGCCTTTTACCCTTCCACTGTTCGGGCCTGGGGGCTTAGATTGAGTGATTCTTACAGTTTGTGGTTCAGTTTTGTGATTCCATTGTCATTGTTTAAAATTGTCCATATTGCCTTGATGTTAAACATTGCAAACAAACATGGCGAATATATCAGCTTGATACCCTGAAGAGCCTATCTATGTTTATGTAAATGACGGTTGTCAGTTCATAAAACCAGTCTTTACAAATCCAGACTTGAAAAATTGAATAGCGATCAGTTAATGATAAACAAATGTTTAAATGTAATCAAAAGTAATTTAAAATCATGACGGGGGGCAGCTATGGCGCAGTGGGCGAGTGCATTGATCCTCAGATCAGGGGAGCTGGGGAACACCAGTTGGAATTCCGCCTTCTCCTTGGGCAAGACACTTCACCCTAATTTGCTCCAGTGGGTATTGTCAACAGTATTCATTGTTACGTGTGATAAATGTAATTTATGTAATGTAAAGCGCTTTGAGCATTTCGAAAAGCGCTAATAAACGTAATTAATTATTATTATTAATTATTATGACCGTAAACAAAAGTCAAATCAATCGTTGATATGAAGATTTGTTCGGCCATTACTATTTCAAACACTTCTGCAACAGTACTGGCACGGACGGTGTAGCTGGCCTGTTAATGTGGGTTATTGTTTTAAATACATTTGAGCAAACATTTTAGTTTTTAGGGAGATAGAGATTAAATGACTGGATAAAAAAAATTATACTGCTAAAGTTTTGATATATGGTTTTGCTGTTTTTAAACACAGACCCAATTTATTTTATTCATTATTAAGAATGTTATAATTTTATATAAACGTTGTTTACCATTGAGCCATTCGAGAAAAAGTTATTTCTCAAAAAATCAACATAACAGGGTGATTAATGGATAAAGTTGTCATTTTGTGGGTGAAATATTCCTTTAATATAATACTGTTAATTCAAAATCTCAGGTCCTGTGAAGACACTGTATTAATTTGTAGTTTGTGGTGATAAACCTAATTTTAACAGCATTTTACATCCTACCCACCATACCCTTATTAAGATGACCAATTTAGACAAGTCAAAATACTCATCATCAACAGTTTCTTACCATACATCCCCTGAATATCACCAGTGTTTATATAGTCATCTGGAATGAAATACAGAGAATCAGTATAAAAATGTCTTTGTTTGGTGGGTTATTTTTTTAGACTTTTGTAACATAAGACAGGATATTTTACATAAATAAGACTGGAACTAATGTGCAATATTTTTGCAACCAATGATATCCTACAAACACTGACCTTTTCGAATGATACAGGTCCACACTGGTGCAGATTTATGAGCGAGTGTGAGCTTGAAATTACTGTCTGGATTTTCAATGAACACTTCACAAAAGTTTGGGTCACTCCCTTCATATACAAGCTTTAGGTTCTGTGAAATAATGTATATGAAGTAAAAAGGCGGGGATTAGACTCTGTCCAGGGTTAGTGTTAAAAACTCCATCCTGCTGAAGCTTTGCATTATTCATACAACGTATTTCTGAACAACAATCACAATCAAAACGTACCTCAGGAGTCATTTCTGCACTGTCCATGTTGGCCTTGAGGGTGAAATATTTACCCATTTTCAGGGACTTCTGTGGGTATGGCTTTTGGATCATTTTGTATCCACTGGATAATTCCTTGCTTTTTATTGTCTATAGAGGAAAATTACTTTTTTCAGCACAAAACGTCCAGCCAACACTGTGGTCTGAGTTTTTAAGTATAAATCAAAAGCAATTACCTGTTGCAGAGCAGGATCACTAGGGATCAGATACACATGTAGTGTGAGGAATGCCAGGTTGGTCTTGAATATTAACACTTTACAGTTGATTTTTATCGGAAAGCCAGTTTTGGCAATCAGGACTCCTATTGAAGAGAAATGTGGCTGAGATAACTTGACATGGGATGGTGTAACCTCAGACACTGGCTCCACGACGTCTCCACAGGCATCTATGTGCAGGACTGAGAACTTGCCTAAGACTTCAGGGTTGTCTTCTGCATAAAGAAAAGGGCTTCAACGTTTTTTATGGACATACTATTAAACAAAGCTATTAAAAAAATGTTTTTTAAATATGTTTGTTTGCCTGTGCAGATCCAGTGAGGCAGATAAGCTTCCTCCAACTCTCCAGCAATGACAGTAACGTTGAGAAGGGGACCTCCAGGAATGAAGTGCAGAGCTTCCATCCTCTCCATGTGTTCCTCCCACGAGACAAACTGGTACTTCAAGCTGACCTTTTCCTTACAAACCCAGCGCAGTCCAGAGACCCCACACTCAGAGCGACCTGCATCAGACTCTAGGCTAATGGATGGAAGGGAAGACATTGTAAGAGTGGCGCACATTTGCAGTATTTTTAGAGAGAAACTGAGTTATTGATTTATGAAAATGTACTTGCTGATTATGGTAATAAAGCATTAGAATGAATGGTCGAGCTCAGAAATAGATCGTAGGTTTTCATCGGGAAATTGGTTCGCTGTGACACAGTAATTGAAGATGTTTCTTACCTGTAAATTGGAGTATCCTCGTCATCCCCACAGATCACTTCAGGTTTGAGTGTAATCCAGGGAACCTCAGGAACTTGACCTACGGTCTGCACCTTTATTTTAATTGTGTGAAATATGTTAAAAGTCTGATTTACTGTAGATTCACTGTAACTTGTGTTAAGGACAATTAAAACAATGAACAAGTGATTAACTGCTTAGTGTTACATTTGGATTAAAAGAACTTCAAATATTCATGTTCTAAATATTGAATGTAATAATCAATAAATAAGTCTGAACAGCTACCCAGTCCAGAGGACAGCTTTACTCACCTCTGCTAGGACAACATTTTGATATCCTCTGTTGATAACACTCTCTGACTGCGAAGCCAATCTGAAATGGTAAAGGATAACTTTCAACAGATAACTTCACACACTTGCTGGGCTTAAGAAAACGTACATTTTATTGAATAATTCATTGTTTTTTTCTACATAAATTAGCCTCACAGACCAAAGCAGATATGGCAGTGCAACACATGTAAACACAAATCGTTCAAAGGAATGTTTTAGACCACGTTTTTGTTTATATATCTTAATGGCAGTAAAAGACCAACCTTGGACCCTCAGCTAATGGTATCCATTTCTCAGCAATTTTGTATAAGATGTCTTTGTCTTCTTCAGATTTTAGATGACCATCCAACAGCTCCTTCATCTTCTCCTCCGAGGTCGGGAGAGTGCAGATATGATCATAACTCTCCTGATGAATCGCCCCCTTGGTAAATAGCTCATCCAAAAGTGATTCCACGTCGGTCACATGGCGGATCAGCTGATCTCTTAGTATATCCTCTAAAGGAAACCCAAAGGAAAAAAGACTCAGTCATTTTGAATTAGTAGTTTTTTGAAATAAAAGTATATTTGAGGAACACTTTCCACATATTACGTTAAGATTAGCATTTGATTGTTTTACGTGTATCACATTCAAGCACTTTACAATGGATCCAAAGAAGAGACAAAAGAAGTGCTGATCTTTGATTCACGCGATACCTTTGAAAGGACAGGTAAGCATTGTTTATATTTGATATAATATTTGTATTTTTCATTTTCATTTTAATTGTTAATTCTCTATTCCACCTTTTAAGTGTTTGTATTTTAATGTCTGAACACACTGCTGTTTCTGTAACGAAAGAATTCCCCAAATGTTGATCCATAAAGTATCTATCTAAAATCATGAAACATTATTATTCTTATTTAGTAAATCAAATACAAAATGCAATGTTTGTTTAACAATGTTTTCCAGGGGTCTGCTCCGGTTCTGTTTTCTGTCTTAGAAGTTATTTTGCATCCAACGTATTTTGCGTCTGCCACCAGTGACTTCTTCTGATCCTGTTTCATTTCGTACTGCTACGAAATAAGTTAAAGAATAATTTTAAAACGTTTCGAGAAGGACTCGCCCCCCCCTGAGCTGACCAGGATCTATTTCTACATGTATTTATTTTTCTTGTTATTTCTGACCTTTGAGTTTCTTCAGCTCCTTGATCTCTCTGAGCGGCTGCTGCACGGCGTTGTCCAGCCTGGGCAGGTCGTTCATCAGGCGGTCGATGAGTGTGATGGATCCCTCGGTGCCGTAGTACTGGATGATGACGCTGGGCATGTCGCCCCGCAGCCGCCCCTCCTTCACCTCCTCAGGGATCTTCTCCAGGTTAAACAGAAGTACCATGAACTCGAAGTCCGTCAGCTCGTGCAGGATGGAGCTCAGCGCCGTCCTCCACTCTGTCTTCAATTCGCTCGGGAACACCTGAGCACAAACAGGAGGAGGTGGGAGGTAACCAAGTACATTTATTCAAGTACTTTACATAAGAACAACTTTGAGGTACTTGTTATGCGACTGTGTAGCTTCTAACTCTCTACAGTGTTCAGAGGTACATGGTGTACTTCTAACTCCCACTACATGTATTTTATCCCTTTAGTTTTCTTTACAGATTGATGAATGATGTGAAATCTAATCAGTGTTAAATCAGACTTTAAGTTCCACCTGGAGTAAATCCACCAGCTACCTGGCAGTATAACAAAGTCATTCAAACTAGCTGCACCTTTTTACCAGGCTTTGAGAAACACTTTATGATTCCATCATTATAAAACATATCATATCTATTATTTCTGAAATGGACCAATCTGCACAACGACTACTTTTAGCTGTCTTCACTATATTTTTGATGAGAATACTTTTCTACTTTCACTTGAGGAACATTTTGAATGCAGGACTTTTACTGTAACAAGAGTATTCCTCACATTTCTGGCGTACTTCCTACTTTTATTCAAGTACAAGAGCTGAAGATACACTTTACTTTTTACTCAAGAACAAGATCTGAGTAGGCTTCTACTTTTACTCAAGAACAAGACCTGAGTACTATCTACTTTTACTCAGAACAAGATCTGAGATACTTCTACTTTTACTCAGAACAGAGATCTGAGTACTTCTACTTTGTACTCAAGAACAAAGACTCTGAGTACTTCTACTTTTACTCAAGAACAAGACTGAGTACTTCTACTTTTACTAAGTTACAAGATCTGAGTACTTCCTACTTTTACTCAGGAACAAGAACTGGTACTTCTACTTTTACTCAGAACAAGAATGAGTACTTCTAGCTTTTACCAAGAACAAGATCTGAGTATTCTACTTTTAATCAAGAACAAGATCTGAGTACTTCTACTTTTACGTCAAGAACAAGATCTGAGATACTGAGTACTTCTACTTTTATTCAAGCACAAGTTCTTGAGTCTTCTATTTTACTAAGTACAAGATCTGAGTACTTCTACTTTTACTCAAGAACAAAGATCTGAGTACTTCTACTTTTACTCAAGAACAAGACTGAGTACTTCTTACTTTTACTAAGAACAAGATCTGACGTACTGTCTACTTTTCTAAAGAACAAGATCTGAAGGTATTCTACACTTTTAATTCAAGCACAAGATCTGAAGGTAACTCTTAAACGTTAACTACAGTACAAGATCTGAGGTACTGATCTACTTTTAACTCAAGTACAAGATCTGAGTAGCTTCTACTTTAACTCAAGTACCAATCTGCTTTGTATTTATAGAGCGTTAGTGTAGTGATAACCTCTCAAGATATATTTTACTTTTTCTTTTCCCATTTTTCAATACTGAAGGTTTCCATAGGGTTTTCACTCGAACAGGAGGAGATTTACCTAATGAAGTAAAGTAACAGATTTAAAGAGCAGGGAATACTAAAAAACCCTTAAAGTAATCCTTAAGGCCCGGACACACACAGGTCCGATTATCGGCGTCTGTGTTAAGTGGGACGATGAGCGTGCCATGTCGCCCCAAAACTCAATTTGGCTAGTGTCCCCGCACCGTCGGCTGTGACACAAGTTACACTCTGACCCTAATCAAGAAGTATTCAGATGCGCGTCTTTTTTGGCCTTATCACATGGCCGACGCATGGCGATTCAACATGTTGAATCGGCATAGCGTCGGGTCGGGCAGTCGGGCCAAATAAATCACTCGATTGGCTGTTCAGCTAGCGAATGCAGTGCATGAGAAGCTGAAACGGAAGTGAGGGACGTAAACAACGCCTTTAAGAAGGCCCGAAGATGTCTTCCGCAGAAACACTCCAATGGCTGATAAGCTCCAGTACCGCACGAGACTATGTTTTTCCGATGACGAGAGTGAAAATGGAACCGCACACGCTATTTGTTGTTTGTTTTAGATCACGGAGCTCTGTTGTTCTTCTCTGTCTCCGTTGCTGCATCTTTGAATGACGAATACACACTACCGCCGCTGCTGGTAAAGGAGATTATGCCACTCACGCATGAGCAGTTCGTACGTTGCTACCTTGGCCGTCGGCTGAAGTCTTTGGGGTGTGTTCCAGTGCGACTGTTGGCCGAGAAAGCAGAGGTGAACCCAACAGTCCGTGTTCCGTCGGGACGTGTTCTCTAGTGTCAGCTTGGTTGTCAGGGCCTTTAAAGTAACCTTAATGTAATCATAGTTACATGTATCTCACGATATAGATTTTCTGAACAAAATGAGTGTGACTTCTTCTTCCTTCAACCTCAGCCCAGGGTTTTCACACACGGTGATATTTTTTATCATATTTTATAAAGAGGAATTCTGAACTGAGAATCCCACGAGTCTTCAGTTTCTAACACGGCAGGAAGAATATCACACAAAAGTTTTTAACGGCTGTATCTCTTGAATTATGAATGTGTGAGCTGGGTAAATCTACGGTGGGCCGACAGGGGAAACGTGCCTGCATCTTCAGAAAGTGATGCAGACATAAAAACCCAAAGGTTCCACATAAAGAAACATCTCAGCAACTTGAGGAGAACATGTGCAGCGTTGACCTAAAAAGCTGCAGAAACCAAACGCATGCAAATACAAAACGCTTGAAGAAGCTCAAAAACACAACGGAGACCAGGGGACACTAAAGAGTGACGCACACAGCTGGGAGACCAGGGAACACTAAAGAGTGACGCACACAGCTGGGAGACCAAAGGGACGCACTAAAAGAGTGACGCACCACAGCTGGGAGACCCAGGGGACACTAAAAAGAGTGACGCACACAGCTGGGAGACCAGGGACACTAAAGAGTGAAGCACACAGCCTGGAGACCAGGGGACACTAAGAGTGATGCCACACGCTGGGGGACCAGGGGAACACTAAAGAGTGAAGCACACAGCTGGGAGACCAGGGGACAATAAAGAGTGACGCAACACAGCTGGGGAGACCAGGGAACACTAAAGAGTGAAAGCACACAGCTGGGAGACCAGGGACTACTAAAGAGTGACGCACACAGCTGGGAGACCAGGGGACACTAAAGAGTGACGCAACACAGCTGGGAGACCAAGGGACACTAAAGATTGAAGCACACAGCTGGGAAGACCAGAGGACCTAAAGAGTGACCGCACACAGTTGGGAAGATCAGGGGACACTAAAGAGTGACGCAACACAGCTGGGAGACCAGGGACACTTAAAGAAGTGACGCACACATGCTGGAGCCAGGGGACACTAAAGAG